AATCCAAGCTGGACTGTCTCTCAGATTAGTTGTCTCATTGACTTAGCTCCTTGGCATAGGATAGCTTGTTTATCTTGTACTTGTAGGTCATGTGTGATTATAATGTGATTTACATTTCTAAACCTAAGGAACAGGGGAGAATTAGTCTACTTTAAAAGATTGCTCTCTCCCACTTAGCCTATCAAATGTGCCTGTCTTTTGCCCCTATACCTAACCAATGGTGGCCATTAATCTGCTCTCTATCCTTATTTTTATCTTATTTCATAAATGTTACATAGTGTTGAGATTGGCTTTTTGACTTGGCATAGTCTCCTTGGGACTGTTGTATGTATGCATCAATAGCTAACTCCTTTTGTGTTTGGCTAAGATGTATTCTAGGTTATGGATATACCACAGTCCTTTGCATCATTCATGCATTGAAGGACATTTGAGAAGTTTCTAATTTGGGGCTATTATAGACAAAACTGCTATGCACATTGGTGGACAAATTTCTATGCAAATATTGAAGTTTTCATTTCTCTGAGATAAATGCAAGAGTGCAATTGCTGGGTCATGTGGTAAGTCCATTTTTAGTTTGAAAAGGACCTGCCAAGCTATTTTTCCAAAGTGGCTGCACCATTTTAAATCTCCCAGCAGTAATATGGGAATAGGTCTGATTTTTCCCACATGATCATCAGTACCTGTTTTCATCTACCCTTTCATATTATAACCGTCTTGGTGAGTGAAAACTTGTTTGAGTTGCATTTTCTCAGTTACTAATGGCTTTGACTCCGTGTGTGTATGTGTGGTTATTGGCACTTTGTATGCTTTAAAAAAAAAAATGTCAATTCAAATTCTTAGCCCATTTTTAAAGTGGGTTATCTTTTTTATTGTTGAGTTAGAAGAGTTCTTTATGTGTGCGAAATAAAAGTTCTTTATCAGATTATGATTGGCACATATTTTCTTTACTTAGCTTTTGGAGTCATGAGCCAGGGTTGAACTTGTATAGGTAGAAATCATAACAGATATAGTGGTAATGGATTGCATGTCACCAGTAATTCTTGCCAAGACTAAATAGATTTTGTTTTGTTTGGTTTTTTTGTCAGTCAGGGGCTTAAACTCAGGGCATGGGCTCTGTTCTTAAGCTTTTTCATTCTGCCTCTTGGAGCCACAGTGCCACTTCTAGGTTTCTAGTGGTTAATTGGAGATAAGAGTCTCACAGACTTACCTGCCAGGGCTGGCTTTAAACTGCAATCCTCAGATCTCAGCCAACTGAGTAGCTAGGATTACAGGTAAGAGCCACCAGTGCTTGGCTAAACAGATTTTTTTGAATGAACATTTCTTCTTTTGTCATTATGCTCTAGGGAAAGTTTTCAAGAAACTTTAAATACATTCTTTAATTTTCTTTTTACTAATTAAGTTATTGCTTTCTGGGGAGAATATGCACAGAGTTCTTTTCAGTCTTCTGGAAGGCTGTCTACAAGAGGAGTTTTATTCTTAAAGTGTAAATCCCCCTAGGAAATATTATTGCACTTTCTTTCCAATCACTTAGGAAAACTCTTCTAACTTCTGTGCCATTACCTAGAGAGTTTTCATCTTATTAGTTTGTCAGTCTTCGGAAAATCTTAACAGCTAGAGAAGACCTCTGGACAACAGCTGTAGGAATGAGACCATGTCTGAAGTATTTCTGTTTTTGTTAATTTTTATTATGATTATAAAAGTGCTATGCAGAGAGATTAAAGTTGCATAAGACAGATAAAGAGTACATTTCTTTTTGGATAGTGTCACCACCCCCTCCCTCACTGTCTCCTGGATTTACATCCCATCCCCATCTGAGGTGTTTCTTAAAAGAGTGCCTGAATAGCAAAACAGGTTTAAGTATTGAAAAGAGCAACTCAACATGTTGAGTGTTCCAGTACTAAACACACAGCCTACCTGGAGGCATGAATGTCACATGTAGATGCTATCATTATACCTTCAGTTAGAACCCACCAGTAATTCATAGGCTCAAAACAAAGGTGGGACGATGGATTGCATGTACTTAGAAGTCTAAGTGGGAACCATTTAGATATATCTTATGTACATACCTGCACATTTCTGATGGTTGTGGAAACCTGTCAAGCACTGAACTAATTTCAATGGCATTCTTCTTTCTTAGCTAAATATGATAGCGTAAAGGCTAATGGAATGTTAAAACTGACTCATTAGGTCATCTAGCCCAACTCACTTTTATTATTTTGCAGATGAGGAAACAGGCTCAGAAAGTGCCTGAACTTTGCTCATAGTCTTTCAGCTAAGTAGCCTCCCATTTTGTTCTGGGGTGCACTTCACTGTGAGAATGACTGTAAGTTTCACTTATGTCGCTTTGTTTGCTTCATCAGCAATAAATTCTACTGTACTCCCATTTAAAAGGCAGCCCCTTAGCATAACTGTCATCTGAATGTTTCCCATAACTTTTCTGTCCTTCTTCCTCCAACTGGCAACTTTGAAACTTGTTACAATCCAGAACACTAATAGGGTTTCACATTTTTAGCAGCCTAATGATGAGAATATAGAGCCTTCTGTGCTATCCCTGAGGGGTTTCTATTCTGGGCATCTATTAAATCTTACTGTAGTCTCAAGTATATTCGACCTTTCTATGTTAAAAAAAAAAAATCAGCCAAAACTTTACACATAAATTTGTGTATGTGTGGATGTGTGTTTCTTTCTTCTCTATCTATTATTAGATAAAGATTCAAACAATGTCAACATTTGAAATTGTAGATACCTGTCAATTTTTCTATGTTTGCTGAAAAAAGAGGAGTCATTACCATCATAATTTAATATTTTCTTTTATTTAACTACATTTGATCCTTCTGAAAAAAATCTTTTCTACTTTGAAGCCTATTTCGCAGTTTAATTAATGCAGCAAGGCTTTTTTTTATTTTACTCTCAATGGATGTAATCTTAATCTATTCACAGTGACCTTTTCTTGTGCAAATTAGTTGTACATGCTTGTTTAAGCAAATGGTCCTTTGCCTGATGTCTCTTCTTAATGATGGGGTTTATAATTGAAAATTGGCTTACTCCCATATGCCTGGTTTGTATGAGAATATAAAAATAGATGTGGACTTTAAAAATATAAACGTATATATCAATATCCAAAAAGAGGGAGAAGGAAGAACCCAGTGCCTTCCGGCTATGATTAAATTAGACTATTAGACTCAGAAAATGCTGGTGACATATGCTACTGTCAAAGTCACACCTGTCTGCTCAGCATTGGAAGCTCTTAAAAAAAATGAGAGTGATTTTTATCTTGGCTGTTAGAATCAGAGCCTTCCTAGGACATGCGCCATCTCTAGTTTCCCAAGTTTTCTTCAACTCCTAATGAAGTTGAAACTTCATGTACGAATATTTGTGGCAATCACTTTTAAAGTGACAGTCCTAAAAGAATTAAATGCCTTTTTTTTGTTGTTTTTAAGCTTCACTGGCATAAAGAGACAGATGAGACTCATGTTCTGTTACCTATTTTTTGAAATGCAAAAACACTGTAATAGCATGCAATGACATTTGAATAAACGAAGTAATTATCCCACTGTATTTCAGTTTCCCTTTCTCCTTACTAATTTTTCTCTCTCTTACCTCTCATCATACGTTTCTCCCTATTTTTCAGGCTAGCCCCCTTCAATCTTGCCACCTTGTTTTCTTCTAAGTCATGTTGACCATTCTTATACAGCAGTATTTGTGTGGGGATTGCTGAATGTTGTTTTTTTGTTTTGTTTTGTTTTTGTTTTTGTTTTTTTTTGGGGGGGGTCCAGTCGTGGGGCCTGAACTCTGGGCCTGGGCGCTGTCCTCAGCTCTTCAGCTCAAGGCTCGCGCTCTACCACTTGAGCCACAGCGCCATTTCTGGCTTTTTTCTTTTTGCTTATGTGGTGCTGAGGAATCGAACCCAGGGCCTCAGGCATGCAAGGCAAGCGCTCTACCACTGAGTCACCTTCCCAGCCCCTGAGTGTTGTTTTTAATGAAATGTTCTTCAGTGTGAAGGAGAAAATAAATGTTTTGTGCTTATGATGGAGATTTTCCCCAGTCGTTTTTAATAGTTTTTAATGGGTTAGATGGTAGAGAATAGGAGCAGTGTAGTTAGTTTTACCTAATGGATGGCACCAGAGAAGAGAGAGAAGATGATAAAGAGTTAGGCCTCTAGGACCACCTGTTTCATCAAGACACAAAAACCTGATTTTGGCAGCACAGTCTAGGAAGGGACAGTTATTACAAGGACCATCAGACTTTGTTTTGGTTTGAACGATGGTTTTCTTCTTTAAGTTGTCATTAAGTCGTTGAACAACAGGGTTTCATTTCAGCTTTGTCAGTTTGTAAGTACAGTGCATCGTGATCAGTGCTGCCCCTTTCATCATTCTCCCCATCTCTCCCAGGCCCATCCATCCCCTTGACCTACTTCATGCCATTTTCATATGTACACATGGTGGGCAGTTGCCTACTCTTTTTCTCTTCATTTGTCTGTTCCCTCTTCCCTTGACCTCATTCCTCTTTGGTACCAACATAGACTTATCTTTTTTTTTTTCTTTTTTTCTTTCGTTGTCATTCATGGGGCCTGAATTCTGGGTCTGGGCACTGCCTCTCAGCTCTTCAGCTCAAGGCTAGCACCGCTTCCAGTATTTTCTGTTTATGCGGTGCTGAGGAATCGAACCCAGGGCCTCATGCATGCAAGGCAAGCACTCACCACTGAGCCACCTTCCCAGCCCTAGACTTGTCTTTTTATATGCAGTTTACAAAACAAACCCTAAATGATTTGTCCTACATAACTGTTTACATGTATGCTCTTCATGCAATGACCCCCCCCCCACACACACACACATTTCTAAACAACAACAACAACAGCAGCAAAAGAAGTAAAGTGAGAGCCAATCCTCCCCAGGGTTCTCTGGGTTTGCTCTGGGTAAATTCATCCGGGTCCAACATGATCACCATCTCCCCTTTCCTGGCAGGCATTTGTTTACTGATCAGTCCTCCTTTCTTTCTAGGTATGATTATCGGGAAATGCTGCACAATGCCACTTTCTGTCTGGTTCCTCGTGGTCGCAGGCTTGGGTCCTTCAGATTCCTGGAGGCTTTGCAGGTAAGAGGCCGGGAAACTTCCCAGGCTAGAGCTAAGAATTGAAGTCCTACTCCATAGGTGTGACCTTATCACTTCCTCTGAGATAAAGGTGAGATAAGGTTTCCCTTAGGGATTTGAGGGTTTATTTTTTTCCCCTCAAGAAAATCTGAAACACCTGTGCAAAGGAGGAGGCTAAGGATTGATCCACTGCCTTTGTACGGAATATGATTACCTGTGTCATGAGGAAGGAAGATTCACTGGGGACATGCTTGCAAATAGAAGGCTGATCTGATTGCATATCTGGTCTTCTGGGCTCCTTAGAGGGATACTGCTCTTTCCCTGAAAGCTGATCAGTGAAAACAGAATGTTGCTGGTATGCCCCCAAAACTAAAATTTAAGTCTCATCCTCCCCATGGTGTTCTGCCATGTGTTTCCTCTAAATTCCCCCCAGGGTGACAGTATTACTTGGCCTTGCTATTCCAAAGTTCTGTAACCCTGTAATCCTGTTCCATCTCTGGAAGCTTGTGTGGGAGTCTATCTGCTTCTCAGGGTCACTGAAGAAGAGCCTTCTCCTGCTGAGACAGTTGCTCACATTACCAGGAATTAGCAACCAGCCCTCTTCCATTGTGTGGAGGAAAGCAAGCTCTCTGTGTCTCCCCTCCTGCCTCCCTGTTCTCGTTTCTTTCCTCCCTTGTGTTCTACACCTTGTCCAAATCCATGCATTTTCTACAGTGTTTCATCATTTTCTGTCCCTACTGGCCTGGCTGCAAATCTGCCTTTCACGTCCTCCCACAGAAGAGTTTCCTTCTCCTGAAAGTCTTTTCCAGAACACTCCATGTGTTCGGTGTAGCATGTCATTGCTTGAGTTCTTGCAGTTTTGTGGGGGCGTTACATGGAGCAAATTGTTCTCTCGTTTTGATTATGAGTTACTTGGAACCAGCGTGTTGTCATTAGCTTATTTATGTGTATTGGCTGTTAGAGCCTGTGCAGATGGTAAATTGGTATGCATCAGTCCACACAGAGGGGTGAGGTTCTGGATTAGAAATCTGCAGAGCAAAGAAAGAGGAACATCCTGACATAGTAAAGGCCACAAGGTGTTGCATTGGAGGTTTGGACCCCCTTGTCCTCTTTCTCTGTCATGACATTGAGGTCTACTTTGCCAGTGGATTTGTGGCACTTTCACAAAACCATTTAGATTCAGGATTGGTTTTACCTTTGGATCTTGCTGATGAAAGCTTTTGTTGCATCAATAAAACTTCTGCCACAAGGCCAGCTGTTTCCATGGAAGTAAAGTCAGCCAAACTGAGTACTAAAAGAGAAATGGGCGTGAACATTCTAAGGCAAGACTTGTAAGTTGTAAAAGTTTGTCTAGACATATGCAATCTTGTATGTCTTGATAATTCCTAAGGTGACTGACTTACTTTCTGGCCTGAGCAGTCCATGCAACACATGCGATATTCTGGTAATTGAATTTGTACTTATTTTCCCGCCCGGATTGGGCTCGTTTCTGCTGTCTCCCCACACTCATGAGGCCTTTCTTTGCCCAGGCTGCCTGTGTCCCTGTGATGCTCAGCAATGGATGGGAGTTGCCATTCTCTGAAGTGATTAATTGGAACCAAGCTGCCGTCATTGGCGATGAGAGATTGTTATTACAGGTAAGGAAGGGACTGCGGCCTTCAAGGGAACAGCAGATTATTACTGCCCCCGTCCAAACTTTCAAAGAAGATGAATCCAAAAGGTCAGCGCTGTAAAAGAAATTATATCGGGAGAAAATTGCCTGTGTCATGGCGAATATGAAGTCATTTAATATGATCTTGTTCCCTTTCCAACACAAAATCTACCCAGGTCCATAGCATATCTTCTGAAAAGCCAAAGTTCCAAGTAAAGAACATGAATTTTATGAAGCACCAGTAACTCACTCATGTAATCCTAACTTATCAAGAATCTGAGATCTGGGAAACCAGGTTTAAAACCAGTTCAAGCCAATTAACCAGCAACAAGCAAGAAATGGAGCTGTGGCTCGTGTAGAAGAATGCCAACTTTGAGCAAATGAAGCTTAAGGGACAGCATCCAGGCCTTGAGTTCAAGCCTAGTATGAAAGCAAAAATGAACAAACAAAACCAGAGGAATATGAACTTTGATAGAGAGAAGAGATGGATCTCCATCCCCTCAAGACCAGAATCTTTATGAACAATACACTTGGCCACTTTAGATTCATTTTATATTCACTTCAGATTAGTTTTCAGAAAGCAACTTCTTTAGGATTGGTACTTCTGCTTAGTGTTGTCATTTCTTGACTAATCTTGCTATTGTTCCCTTTAGGGGGGCAAAAAGATCCCTAATAAAAGTTGGAACTGCTCAAGGCAGAGGGATACAATATGCACAGAGAAGGAAAGTCAGTGAGGATTTCTAGAGCAATAATGTTTGAGGTTCACCAGAAATTGCCACATTCTTTTCTCCAAAAATGATAGGATAATAAGTTTCCTCTTATGACATTGTACACTTTTATCTTTAAACCACCATAAATATTTATAGATTGACTATCTTTTAATATCCTTGCATTTTAAAAAATCATTTTTGATATCCAGAATATTGAGTTTCAGATTCTGTTATTGAATCACTGTTGTACCACTCCACTAGTGGGATGGTGTAGTAATATGGTCCTCTCCCAGAAGTAACCATGAAATACCTGTAACTGAAGAGGACAGTAGACTAAGCAGTCTCAAATGGCCACAGCTCTTGAATCATTGCCTTTGTCTTATCTGTTCTACCATCTTGAGAGTAACTGGACCTAGAAGGTCCAGAAGTCACCTAGAAGGAAAATGTTATCGGGAAATGGAACATGTTTTTCTAGGTGTTCGCTGAGAAGGAGTTGTGTGAACAGGGTCATATTATGGCAATGACTTCCTTAGTAATTCACTGCAGACAAACTAAGTGATATATATATATATGGTTCTTTTCCTTTTTTTTCTTTTTTAATGCCAGTCATGGGGCTTGAACTCTGAGCCTTGGTGCTGTCACTGAGCTTCTTTTGCTTAAGGCAAGTGCTTTACCACTTGAACCACAGTGCCAATTCTAGCTTTTTTGAGTAGTTTATTGGAGATAAGAGTGTGATGGACTTTCCTGCCTGGTCTGGCTTTGAGCCACAATCCTTAGATCTCAGCCTCCTCAGTAGCTAGAATTATAGGTCTGAGCCACCAGTGCCTGGCTCCAGTCTTTAAATAGTACATGCTCATAGAAGAAAATTGGGGAAGTAAAGGAAATTAGAAATACTAGCCATAATTCTCTTCATGAACATGAACATGGAATTTGTTTTGGGCATGGTAAACATTCCAGAAAACTTAAATTGTAAAATATTTACCATTTATCAAAGCTAATGGGCATTTTACACGTTAAAGCAACTTTGTAACTTAACTCTGAAGAGTCCGTCCATGCTAAACTTACTGGTATTTTTCCTTCCAGTCTGCAGTCTGTCTTTGCAGCTGCCTCCATATTGAGCAGCAACAGTACTGTCATTAACAATGGTTTTAAAGAGTTGGCACCAAGCCCGAATGTGTGCTCTGGGAAATGTTTTTGTTATGTTACAATTTTTCATTTCCTGTTTTAGAACAGCTAGGATGTTTTTATTTGCATATATTCTTGTCATCCTGTCACCTGAGAGAGAGCGTACTCTGGTTTTCCTATATCTATTTTGGTAGATCCTATTAGTTTTGTTACCATACATGACCTTTTATTAAGACTTCATTGAGTTCTTCAACTTTCAAAACAACCTAGCCAAATTGGAATTAATTTATCACTTTTCCTTACCTGTCTCTTAAGACAGGCAGATTAATAACCAATAGCCAAACACCATTAAAACTTGGAACTGTGTCTTTTCAATCCATTGAAATTGTCTTCCAGAGCACCTTTCAGAGTACTGTCAGACACCTGTATCATATGCACAGGTTACAGTAGAACACAATGCATGGAGATATAAGATCAAGTTATGAGATGAGATAGTATTGGTGGCTGAATTGGTGAGATTCATTTTCCTCTCTTAGAGCCACAACAGACTCAGTTCTCCGGAGACCACACAGCAATGATAGCTTGAGGCATTTTCCTAATGGATTGCTTTCTCATGACCAGGAGAAAACAGCGATGCCAGCCTATCTGACTCTTAGAAAATGCCATTGACATTTAAAACAGGATGTAATTATGAAAATTGAGAGGATGCGTTTTTTTCTTTCTAATTTTCCCTTGGCAGACTAGGTAATTTTCTCAGTGAGTAAATAAAAATAAATTTCTTTTGACTTATCAAGGATCTATTATATAAATGGTTACTTTACCTTCTCCAAGGACATTTCATTTGCACCTGACCTTGAACTCTAATTTCAGGCTAATGTCTTTCTGGCAGAGAGTTGGTTTTTTTTTGCCTTTAACCTGCAGCCACAACTTCTTTTGGAAAGGGGTAGATTGTAAATCCAAGTCCACACTTTGTGGCACAGATACAGTAAGTAGTTTTGGATATTCCCTAAGCAAGTAACTGTTTTCTTCTGTTCTTTTGTTCTTATTGTGAAACAGTTTCATTATTCCTCCTACAGGGAGTCTTGAATCAAGCAGTATGCTACCATCTCTTTCCTCTCCAGTGGAAACTTAGGTATATTCTTAGTCAAATGTCATAGGTAGCTTTCCTATTAGTGCACCTAACAGAGCATTTCTCCTTCGGCCTCCGCTCGTGTCTGTCTGATTAGTCATGCATTTGAGAGGCAAGCATGCAGAAAGAGGTGAGCACAAAAGGGCAGTTGCTAATCACAAGGAATCTCCTCCAAGAACATAGACTCCATAAACCAAACTGACCTCAAACTGTGAAATTCAGGAGCAAGCCTGAAAAATTTACCAGAAACCCTAGAAGTATATTTCAGAGCTCAGACGCAAGCACGTTGACATGCAGACATTAAGCAACAAGCCTAAACTCTGGACAGAATCAGTTGGTACAACTTTGAATAATATTACTGTAAGATCAATAATGGTAATAGAGTAATAATAAGTCCTAGCAACCAAATTTCCTATGTTTTAGGCATTGCATGTTGTGAAGTACTTATGTAATCTTCATTACAACTTGTTGATGCTAGTTTATGCAATTTTATCAGCAAGGAAATGGAGTCTGAGAGAGAAAACTCATCCAGGAAAATGGTGGAGTCAAGAATCCTATCTTGGTCTGTGTGACTCCAGTGCCCCTTTGCTGAACTACTAAGCCACACAGCTATTAAAAACTGATGGTCCACGACAAACATGTTCTACATACACACTGGAATTTAATTCATCCATAAAGAAGAACAAAGTTATGACTTGGCAGGAAAATAGATGGAATTAGAGATCATTACGTTAAGCAAAATAAGCCAGACTCAGAGAGAAAAGACTTCATGTTCTTTCTTGCATGAGGAAATAAAAAAGACTATGAAGAAGAGGAAAGAAGCCAATGGAAGGGAAAATAAGAAAGGACACTGAACTGATGAATATGATCAATGTATATTATTAACACATATGAAAATGTCATGATAAAGTCCATTAAAATGTACAAAAGAAAAAAGTTAAACAAATACAAAGTAAAGTTATCCTGATCGTGCTTTTTAAGAGAACTACTGTGAAAAAAAATCTATTCTTCTAACCTTAAAATGTGTAGCTGAATGTAAGATCTTTTTTCTAAATTGTATAGCATGATATCGAGCAGTATATGACTAAAAATACACCCATGTTGGAGAAGTCCAGTTAGACTGGGCTAAAGGCTAGAGCCAGAGAGAGCAATCTAGAGAATGCAAATACTCAAAGAGGAAGGGATGTATACATAGAAACAACTAACCCTAGTTTTGAGTTGGATAGAGAGGCTCAGTAATAGTCACTGAATAAAAGTCATTTTTTTTTCTTTTTGCTTATGTGGTGCTGAGGAATCGAACCCAGGGCCTTGAGCATGCAAGGCAAGCACTCTACCACTGAGCCACCTTCCCAGTCCCTAATAAAAGTCATTTTTATTTACTTATTTTTGTTGGTTGTGGGGCTGAACTCTGGGCCTGGGCGCAGCTCAAGGCTAGCATTCTACCACTTGAGCCACAGCACCATGTAAAAGTCCTTTTATGGATGTTCCCAGTTCTAAGGATAGCAGATTTTAGAACTGCTTGGAGAATCAAGTCCTTTGGCCTTTCCCCAAGGCCCGTTAACTATTCATCTGCAAAATTGGATTGTCCATGTGCAGGGCTGAGGATATATGAGACTCTGAGAAGAGGAAACAACATTGTAAGTAGAGGAATACCCTAAGCCATCAACATGGCTGCTACTAAATTTTAGAAGTGAATGCATAAGTTTCATGCATTAAAAACTCTGGGGCAGATTCACTGGATGAGCTGTTTATACTGACATTTCTTGGGGGCATTTCTACTAAGTGCTTGGTGATTTTTAGTTGCTCTATATGCTAGAAGATGAATGTTATGAAAAATGAAAATATAACACAGTGGGTTGTTTTGACCAAACACATCCCTTTGTCACACAATTATAATTACTATGTGTCACCTTACGTTACAGATTCCTTCTACAATCAGGTCTATTCATCAGGATAAAATCCTAGCACTTAGACAGCAGACACAATTCTTGTGGGAGGCTTATTTTTCTTCAGTTGAGAAGATTGTATTAACTACACTAGAGGTAAGTGTTGCTTGGCTCATAATCATGAGTAATGTAGTCCTTTCTTTACTTCACTTGTCATGTGCGTCTGGTCCGTTAAGATAAAACTAAATTTTCTGTTCTTGGTTATATCAGCTAGCCCCTTTGCCCATGCTCTGTCAGATTTCCTTATCCCTGCCAAACTCCAAGAGCAAGACTGACAAAGGGAGAACTTATGTCCCTGGACCCAGAGGTTGACTTTGTCTGACATCATTTAAGGGACATATGGATAATAACTGTCTTCCTGTCATTCACGTTCAATGATATCCTTTGAAGACATATTTCTGCAGCTCATTACACAAAAAGATAATGACAAAGTAAGGGGAAAAATCATGTATCAATCAAAAATTATGAATAGATTATTGGGTACTGTAGGATGATGCTTTAAGGCACAGAAAAATAAAATTTTAGGGCCTAAGCAGTCCAACCAGCAGCATCCTTGTTGCAAGGAGATATAAAAAGGAAATTAGAACTGCACCCATCTGTACAGAAAGTGTTAAGTTGTGTACATTAAAAAATGTTTAATATAGGGGCTGGGAAGGTGGCTCAGTGGTAGAGCGCTTGCCTTGCATGCTCAAGGCCCTGGGTTCGATTCCTCAGCACCACATAAGCAAAAAGAAAAAAGCCGGAAGTGGCGCTGTGGCTCAAGTGGTAGAGCACTAGCCTTGAGCTGAAGAGCTGAGGGACAGTGCCCAGGCCCAGAGTTCAGGCCCCACGACCGGACCAAAAAAAAAAATGTTTAATATCAAACATGTTGCTCCTTTCCCCTTGGTTTATTGGATAGCTTTCTATTTTAAATAGTCTTTTCATCTGTAGCTTCTCCATTTAGTACATTTGAGGAAAAAAATATTTTGACCTATATTTTTAAAATAGATTGTTGTCTATCCCAGTGCACTTGGTAAATTTTTTGCACAGTGATTTACATGCTTCTTCCATGTATCACTGGTTGTTTTTCTGGCCTTTTTAATTCGATCAGGTTCATTCCATTTCTAATATATTCCAATCATATTTTAATTTCTTTCACTTTAAAATACCATACTATGTCGAACCTCTGTAAATTTCTACTGTTTTCTACTATCCATGGTCTATGTATTTCTAGTTGTTGATTTTTTCATAGATAACTATACAATGCAAGCAGATGCTTACGCATGTAATGACTTCTTGTATGTATCTTAGTTCACGTCTCTGCTGAAGTTTTTGTTGTTTTGCCAGTGCTGATGCTTGTTCCTTGGCTTTTTTTTTTCTCTCAAAGTCAGCACTCTACTACTTGAGCTATAGCTTCACTTCTAGCTTTTTGCTGGTTAATTGGAGATAGGAGGCTCACTGACATTTCTTTTCTTTCCCAGGATGGCTTTGAACCATGATCTTTAGATTTCAGCCTCCTGAGTAGCTAGGACTGTTGGTGTGAGCCACTAGCAAATGACTCTGCCTCTTTCATTAAGACAGAATTCCTAAAGTGAAATTACTGACCCAAAGACTTTATAGGTATTTCTGAGGCCCATAATAGGTTTTGCAAACTGGTTCTTCACAACCATTATACCTAGACTCTCCCAGACTGTCTGAGGGAGATTCTCTGACTATATTAGTCTTAGGGAATCATAATTAAAACATACACATATACAGCTTTGCTAATTTGCCAGATAAAAGATACTGTCTATTAAGTATATAAGTTTTTCAGTTTGGTTGACTAGGTAAATCCAGCTTTTAGCCTGTTAAGCTGAAATGTTCAATAGTTAGGTATGTTATTTCATCAACTGGAATCTTCAGTTTTCATCTCTGAGCCTGGAAAGCCTTCATCCCTTTGGATTTAAGCTATGCAATTCTTTGGCAACACAGTTGTTTTTAAAACACTGAAAACCATATACTTCATTGAAATTTATAGTAGCTGTCAAATCTTTTTATATTGTTCCAAGATTGTATTGTAACAATTTGACCTCTCAACCAGATTGCAGGAATGATACCATTTACTTTCCTATCTTAATTCAGAGCTCAGATTACCCTACAATGCAACGTAAGGAGAAAAGCAGGGAAAATACCAGGAAATGCCAGCCTCATACACAAATAACTCCAGCAAATCCAAAAGCATAATTTAAGTATCATATATCAGAAATATCCACTTGGCTTAAGACTTGAACAGTGTAAATCATCAGAAGGGTGGTAGAAATCCTAAAATATGAGAATAATTCAAAGTTAACTTCAGACAATATAGACTTGAGGATTTATTTTATTTTATTTATTTGGGGGGGGGGGGGAGGGCGGGTCAGTCATGGGGCTTAAACTCAGGGCCTGGGCACCAGCCTTGAGCAGTTTTTGCTCAAGGCTAGCACTCTACCACTTTGAGCCACAGCACCACTTCCAGTTTTCTGGTGGTTAATTGGAGATAAGAGTCTTACAGACTTTCCTGCCCAGAATGGCTTTGAACCACAATCCTCAGATCTCAAGTCTCCTGAGTTGCTGGGATTATAGGCGTGAGTCACCAGCACCTGGTTTGAGAATTCTTTATTCAAGACGATCTATATTCAGATTCTAGAACTCTAGGTCCTTCCTTCCTTCCTCCTTTCCTTCCTTCTTTCCTATACATACACATATACATATATACACATGCATATAGATGTATGTATAGGTATATATGCATACCTGTGCGCCTGTGTATATATGTATGTGTACACACACACACACACACACACACACACACACACACACACACACACACACACACACACACACACACACACACACACACACACACACACACACACACACACACACACACCCCAGCCAGCCCATAGGGATGAGATTGGACTGTTGAGTCTTTGGATAATAGAAGCCCTAGAGTTGCAGGCAGTGCTTAGATACAGTTGGAACAGCTCTCATCTGATCAAGTCATTGGTACTTTTTCATTGTGCAGGACTCTATCATGCTGAGGATTCTGTTTGTTTTTTCAAGTCTGAGTGAAGTTTCCTAATGTTACCTCTTGATTGAATCAGAGCTAAACTCTTTGGACTCAGATATTGTTACCCATTAGAAATCATAAAAGACAGTGTTCCTCCACGGAGTACTGCCACTAAGGACTGAGCCATAGGAGCTCAGAACAACGATGAGCAAAATGAAAGTATATTAAAAATGTAATAATATAGGAGAAACACAATACACTGTTTGAAAAAGGGGTCAGGATGGAGAGGAGAAGGGTTACAGGAATATAGGAGAAGGGGTGAATTTGTTCAGAGTGCTCTGCACGCATCTATGGAATGGACACAATGAAACCCCATTGTGCTATTGGTGAATGTTAATAAAAATTACAGTAATACAGGAAAATAGCCAGTAGTATCTGGGAAAGCACATTTTTAGAGGAGTTCAATGATGTTTTTCCCCATTTTCCTCTTCCGTTATCTGAGTATATATTTCAAACCATTGCATTTTTATGCTATTATGTCATGTTATTTTTAAATCAATGAGATAATGGAAATACAAGATTGTTTTGGCTTTGAGCAAGGTGGCCTATGGTGGCACTGTTTATGTTAGGCAATATCCATTTAGTGAAAAGACTGAGTCAGTACTATATTAAATGGCCAATTCCCTGCTGTTCTGATAAAGAATAAGACACATAAAAAGAAATAATAAGGCATCTGTCATTCTTTGCTTTTAATTCATATTAATAAGTGGTATCTTCATCAAGGAAAATGATAAAAATCTTTTATGTCACATATTTACATGTTTGTATGTATTAATTTTCTTTTTCTTTTTTTTTTTAAATTGTCACTCGTGGGGCTTGAACTCTGGGCCTGGGCACTGTCCCTCAGTTCTTCAACTCAAGGCTAGCACTCTACCACTTGAGCCACAGCACCACTTCTGGTTTTCTGGTGGTTTACTGGCAATAAAGCCTGGTCTGGCTTTGAACCGTGATCCTCAGATCTCAGCCTCCTGAGATTACAGGCATGAGCCACTGGCGCCCAGCCTGTACTGATTTTCTTTATAGCCAAAGAAATCTGACCCACAAGCAATAAGTGCCTTAAGGCTTCTAAGTACTGCCCAATATAGCAGTGATAATTAGGCAACAGAAAAGATGATGTTTCAATATGGTAAACAGATTGTATTCTTTCAAGTTTTTATAAGCCACTTAGATAGATGCTTGACCGTACATGTGCATATCTCTAACAGTTTACACACCTTTTGTCAAAGCTCTAAAGAATCAGTCTTAAATGTAGGGAAAAAATGTGCTCAAAAATATGTTTATTTCTTTCCGTGGCAAAGATTGTTGGTCATTTAGATAAGTAAATCATGAATACTAGGAAAATACCTATAGGAGACAAGATCTATTGTATCACAGCTGTGTAAAAATAGGAAAGTATATCAAAATTGAATGTAGGGATGAAAATTTCTCTTAAAGGCAAGTGTAAAAATGTAGGCAGCTAGTGTTAAATTCTGAGAGGTTATTATAATTAATGTGCTACTGTGTTTTATTACAAATGAAAGTAAGCCATAAAAGTGGCAAATTGCCTGGCCAAGGTTAAGTTCAACGTTTGTTATTGCTTTCGTACCTGGACTAGTACCATTTTGTCAAGATCCATTTGAAGGGAGTATAAAATTCTTACTAATATTTCATAAGAATATCGTAACTGATTATCTTGTTAGCATACTAAACCAAAAAGATAGTCTGTGACAGTGTGAAGCATAACATCAACATTCAGAATGAATGATGACTCACTTTGTATCATCTGAGTTTATGTCATTTGTTGGTAGGTTGAATTTACAGTGTCGTCTATTGCCAATTTATTCTGTGTCTTGATATCCAAGCTTATTTCATTGACCACCTTCTGAGAGTACATGAATTTAGGGGAAAGGGGGAAGGCAGTGAAGGGTTTAAATGAAGAGCTGTAAAGGTAAATAAACAGACAGTAGATCTGCAGAGTACACATAATAATAAAAATACCAGAATAAATGTTGTATGAAGTGGAATTGCTTGCATATAGAAACCCCTCACAATTATGATGATTTTTCTCACAATGGCTACAGCATTGTAAGTCATCCCTTTCCTACCACAGAGTAAACATTAGTATTTATTTGGATTTCTAAGATCTTTATCAAATTAGAAACCTCTGTGTAGCCATATTTAGCAATTGTGTCAAGCACTAGTAGCTCATACCTATAATCTTAGCTACTCAGGATAATGAGATTTTAAGATCGGGGTTCAAAACCAGCCATGCCAGGAAAGTCCATGAAGTTCTTCTCTTCAATTAACCACCCAAAAGCCAGAAGTGGAGGTATACCTCAACTGGTAGGGAGCCCACCTTGAGCAGACAGACTAAGATAGCTAACAGAGCATGAGTTCATGCCCCAGGACCAGCATAAAATAATGATCACTTTTGATCTGAGTGAAAGATGAAATGCACAAATCAAGAAACTATTTGTGTTCTAAGTTTCTTTTCTGTTTGCTTCCTTCTCTCTCATTAGGAAAATAACATGATAAAATATAAATATAGCTTAGTTTATTACTTGTCAAGTCTTCATAGGATGAATATGTTAATAACCTAGCAAATAATAAAACTCTCTCTAAAGTAGTTTTTACTTAAAATTACTTTGCATTAAATGGATTCCTGAAAAATGGTGATTTAGGTCTCCCAACTCTTAAGACTTAAATCAGGGTATCAGGGTGTGTGTGTGTGTGTGTGTGTGTGTGTGTGTGTGTGTGTGTGTGTGTGTGTGTGTGTGTGTGTGTGTGTGTGTGTGTGTGTGTGTGTCTGAGAGTTGAACTTGGCCTCCTGCATTTTAAACACCCATTCCATTGCTGAACCAGGATTTTACATTTTTTTAAAAAATTGCTTGAAACATAAAATTTTGTATCAAGTTAATTATTTGTCAAATCATATCTTAATGAGTGGATGGTACAATTACAAGAGTGTGAAAGTCACAGAGAGAAAGCCCTAAAGTGGACTAATCACATTCAACTGACAAATGATTCAGGATGGGAGAATATTTGGCTCTAACTGTAGAATTTAATGATCTGCTAGGTCCCAAATCCAACGAAACTAATGAACTAGCTTGGCGATTATTATTCTTCGTGTGCCATGATTCTTGTCCTCTTAGGTAGGATATTTTGAGCAATTTAGAAAGTCACTACATTTTGAGGTCAAACTACTGAAGATCATTAGCTAGCCTATAACCAAAGTTCCCTTTGGTTACTGAAATATGACAAGCAAATAAATCTACATTCTGATTTAAAGGAACAGGTCAAAACCTAAGCCCCAGTGAACACTGAACATGGCTTCTGTTTGCTTTCAGTTCAGTCTCTGTGTGATCTACAGAGATCTTGTTTATGTGACCTGGGGTCCATATATAGATGCTCAACCATCAAAGGCAGATTATGTGCTCCACATGGTTTACCTGGAAACAAGTATGGACTCATTCTTTCAGAAAGAAAAGGAAAGGGAAAGGGAGGGGAGTGAAGGATTTAAATGAAAAGCTGCAAGGGGAAATGGATTGTGCATCTGAAAATTACAAGTAGAATAAATAACCAGAATAAATGTTCTACAAAGTAGAAGTATTTTCCATGTACAACCTCCTCATAACCGTGATCGTTTTCTCCTAACTAAAGCATTGTAAGTCATCCCTCTTAGACCCCAGAGTAAACATCAGTGAACAGTGGATCAGTTATAAAATTAAGTATCATCATATATAAAATGAAGTTAGCAGAGCTGTCCCTAATTCTCTTTCACAGTGCCATTGCTCTATCCTCTGATAAAGAAACAGTGAATTTTGGAGAAAGGAAAATGAGCTGGGAATATAGAATGTAAGTAGGAAACTAGGTTAGCCATCCCTTTCTTCTGTTTTCCACTGCTTGTCATTTCTTTGTCTTGCAGACATTTTTGTCAATGGTGAATTAGGATTAGGCTGTGTAGTCAATACTTCGAATACCATTGTCCCTCAATTTGCATTTATTTGGATTAATTTGATCTCTCCTAAGTAGCATCAAGGTCTAATCCTCACTTTGTGCCCTGTTTTTATGTTGCAGATTATTCAGGACAGAATATTCAAGCACATATCACGTAACAGTTTAATATGGAACCAACATCCTGGAGGATTGTTTGTCCTACCACAGTATTCATCTTATCTGGGAGATTTTCCTTACTACTATGCTAATTTAGGTAAGTGAATTCCTTCTGGAGATCTGCCTTTGTTTAATTCCCAAATGTCATCCAGAGCTAATAACCTCAATTCTACTATTCTTAATGGTGTCTTCCCAATGGTCTTCATTGGAGATTGCTTTCTAAGCCTTGCAAATGATATGTCATATCAACAATTACAAAAACAGCCAAGCATTGGATTAGGTAAGTAGGTAGGTAGGTAGGTAGGTAGGTAGGTAGGTAGGTAGGTAGGTAGGTAGGTAGGTAGGTAGATAGGTAGGTACATAGATAGATAGATAGATAGATAGATAGATAGATAGATAGATAGATAGATAGATAGATAGATAGATAGATAGATAGATAGAGATACTTCTTTTCCTATCTAACCAGCTACCCATTAAATTTAGTAAAGCTATTTCTTGTTGGGAAATAGGCTCCCCAAATTATGGATCATTTTGAAGAAAGCAATAGATTAACTATATATAAACTTAAGTCTCATCGTATATAAAATGAGCTTGAAAGAGCTCTCCCTAATTTTTTTTTCACAATCCCACAAACTACTGTCATCCACTAAAGAAAAGCTGAATTAATAATGAGAAAGGAGAAGGAAATAAGAACATACAAGGGCAAATTTATTCATTCTTTCAACATTTATTACATTCCTCTCCTGTGCTATGCTAATGCACAGCCAGGTATTAGAAATAAAAGGTCATATTTGCTGCAATCTCTGCTCTCAAGCAGCTTTTAATCTAATCACAGTGGGGAAAAGGAGGTGGCCAGAGGGATGTGGCTCTAAAGAAGCCACTGTCATTGCCATAGACACTGATGTCGTTGGGGCCCCAGCTGCTCTTAGGTTTGTGACATCTTTGGGTATTTCACCTCAACAGTTTTAAACTTGAGAAATCATGAAACAGTAAAGCATTTTTCCAAGTTGATGTGATAAAAAGACTCAAACTTTTCCACTTCATGCTATTGTTCTCCAAACCAGTCTCTTTCTTTTAAAGTGGTACATGTTTACCTTGAAACCCAGAAGGTGAAACTGAAAAAAAAAAAAAATCATAGTGTCAAGTGCTCAGTAATGACAAGAACTCCTTAATCTGAGCCAAGAACATTGGGGCAACCCTATCAGATCAGCAGGCCAGATTGGGAAATGTAGAATCTCAGCACTGCTTATTTGGAATTTAGTGCTAGTCCAGTGGTTAAGAACTTCCATGTATTTTTTTGATAGAATGTTGTGATCTTCCCTTGGAGATTGCCTGCTAGAATTGTATCAGTGGTGCTAATACAGGAAACCTAAAGTAGGGACTTATTCTCCCTGTAAAAGAGGCAATTTCTTAGTCATGGTTATTCTTGTTAATTGAAGATGTATCCAGAAATTGGGGACCTTAGCTTCTTTCATAGGTACAGTTACAATGCTAGTTTAATAATGTCATTTCCTCTACAAAGTATTTGCATAATCCTTTTACATGAAGAGTCCTGTTGTTACCTTTACCCTATAGATGTCCCATGACGTTAAGTTGAATGTCCCTGCCCTCTGAAGTTCACATCTACATTACTAAAGTGCCATATATAAGTGAGTCTAAACTATTGGCATTCTAAAAGCCTCTTAACCTGTTTCTGATCTCTTAGAGCATTTTGTGGGAAGACTCACAAGCCACACCTCACTCCTGTGTCTGGTGGCCATGGCTGTTTGGCATGTTTATCATCCTTTATTAACTCAAGGCTTCAGAGCTGTGATGCGCAGGTGTCAGCATCACATACTTTTTGTCCTAGCTGAATCATGGATATGTACGGAAGGCATGCTTCGAGTATGGAGGCTTCCTTCCCATGATGATGAAGCTGATAACAGCTAATTCATACTGAGCACTTATTTGCTACATCCTATTCTGAGTGCTCTTTATACATCAATTTGTTTGGTTCTCACTGTAACCCCATTAAGTTAGACATGTGACTAGTGGCCATATTTTAGAGCTGTGAAGACAGAGAGGGTTAAATAATCTTCTCCAAACTGGTAAACTGAGATTCCATTCTAGGCAGGTTCTAAATGCTGTTCTTTTAGTCTTTCCACTTGCTAGTTATCATTTGAAATATTATTAAGTAGACAAAAATCGCTTAATTGAATGGTTAGGAAGCAGATACATGCAAATACTTTGGAAGAGAGAGCGTATTTATGTAAGTCCATAATGTGTGTGTGTGTGTGTGTGTGTGTGTGTGTGTGTGTGTGTGTGCGCGCGCGTGTGTGTGTGTGTGTGTGTGTGTGTGTGTGTGTGTGCTTAGACATTAGTTTCCTAAGAAGCTCACCAGAGTTCAAAGCAATATCACCAAGGGCGGGGGAAGCCATCAAAGAACCTGGAAGTGGACATTGATCTCTAATGGCTGAGGTGTAGGCTGAGGCAGTCGCTAAGTAGCGGCTTTTCTGTCCTCTTGTTTCTGTCCTGTCAGGACATAAGAAGCAAAGGAAAAATATGCTAGGAGGGAACATTAGCTCCAGGGTGAAGCAATGGAGCAAGAAGGAGTAATTTTCTTAGTCTTGTTTTGCAGTGCTCCATTAGGCTCCTCTCTCCTTTCCATTTCAGGTTTAAAGCCCCCTTCCAAATTCACTGCAGTCATCCACGCAGTGACCCCCCTGGTTTCTCAGTCCCAGCCAGTGTTGAAGCTTCTGGTGGCTGCAGCCAAGTCCCAGTACTGTGCCCAGGTGAGTCCACTTGTCATCTTCAGCAGCTTAGAGAATCCTAGCCCTGTTACTCCCTTTCCATTTGCCATCCCTCATTCCTCCCTTCTCATCAACTTAGAGCCTCTCAGAAGTGGAACTGGCTCAGGTACAGGTGGATTACAGAAAGACTGAACTGGTGCAAGTTTCTCTCTCTCTCTCTCTCACACACACACACACACACACACACACACAAATACACATACACACATACAAGTACAGAGACTGGGGTGTGTTTGCTTACACCTGTACCTCTCGTCCCAGCTCTTCAGGAAGTAGAAACAGGAGACTGACCGCATTCTGAGGCCAGCCAGGCAAAATCAGCAGAAGAGTACATCATTAAAAAAACAACTAAAACCAAGTAGTAGAGCACTTGCCTAGCAGATTTGAAGCCCTGAGTTCAACCCACATTACCAATAAAGAAACATTTAAACAAAAGATACATTAAAGTAATTCCAGAAAGTCTGCCAGGAGGACCCGGACTGCTGCTACACCTTCTGGTTTTCTATCCATTTTCTAACCATGGCTGATAGCATCAAGAGGAAAATCTAACATCTCTGGTGACAATATTTTTCCAAATCAATTCTCTAACAATGGTGCTTCATATTTGTGAATGAGTGTCCCTAAGAAGGTTTGCAGTTGAGGAAGGAATCAGATGATGTTGAACAGTGTGTTTTTTTCTAACTAAATGCCTTTATTGGGAATTATAAAGTCATAAAAATCAGCAGGCATTTTGGAATATCCAGCACATGAGCTCATCCCACTTATAGCTCTGATCCTTTTATTCCACCCACATTGCCTGGTGTAGCACAAGCTTCTAGCAGATGTTCACATGTTTAGTATACATTTTCATTTAACTTGATCAGAGTTGCTATCTCACTCTTCATCTTAAGATATCAGATTTTAGGAAACCACACCATTAAGCTCCAGCAACCTTAAAATTACTTCTTTTCTCCACCAGCTTTTCCCTGTCCCATAGGCCCAGATTTTTAGATTGGGCTTTCTGTTCTGATTCTCTGCTTGTTGAAGTGGTGAGGTTCTGAAGGTTGTGTGGTAGCAAGGTGGGAAAAGAAAGAATAATAGAAGGAAGGAAGGGATATAACTAAAGCATATTATTTATATATGTGGCAATGCCACAGTGAACCTCCGTTCCATATTGTACAATTAATATGCACTAATGAAAATGCACAAGGGATCTGGTGTGTTATTACATGCCTATTATTATCCTAGCTACTCAGGAGGCATAGATAAGGAAAATGGGAGTTCAAGGCCAGTCCCTGCAAATGTTAGTGAGATTGCATCTCAACAAATGAGCTGGCTAGGATGGTACATGTCTCTGGTCTCAGACATGCAGGAGATATAGACAGGAGGATCTTGATCTGAGGCCATCCTTGGACAAAGACAAGAGATTGTATAGGAAGAATAGCTAAAGCAAAAAAATGCTGCAATATATACAATTTTTATGTTCTTGCAAAAACAGCAGCCCCCTATTATGCATGTTTCTCAGAACAGCAAGAAGAACCTTAAAGTTCAAGACTGACAACACCTAAACTAGCCATCTAATTATTCCTGTGCCTTTCAGATCATAGTTCTATGGAATTGTGACAAGCCCCTACCAGCCAAACACCGCTGGCCTGCCACTGCTGTGCCTGTCATCGTCATTGAAGGAGAAAGCAAGGTAGGACTTGGAAAGCACCTAGATGGAGAGCCTCTATGGAATCTTCATTTCTCTGAGACATTTTGCTCTTGGCTCTAGAAGTCTTCCTCCTGTGTAGGAGAACTGCTAGGCCCAGATTAAATCATCTAATACTACAATGATCTCAGAAAGTCCTTAACTTCGACAGTCATGTGCTCTTGATCAGCAAAACCTGGGTTGTTAATACGAACCCTTTGGAGAGCTTTGGGGTGTAGGACCTCAGTTTGTTCATTCATGGAGTAGAAATAAATAAGGCGTATATATCCCAGGATTGCTGTGATGATTGAATGGACTCAGGGCCTGGTAACAGTCACTTTTTCGTAAATGGTGAGGGTAACCATAGGCTGATGGTGGATGACACATGAGATTAGCTTAGCTAATTAATCATAATGGGTTCTGTCTTTCAGAATAGTATTTCATTCACCCACGTTTTTGTTTTGATGGTTTCCAGTCTCCAGTCCACTCTGCCTAGAGCCGAATGATCTAATCATGTAGACTCTTCAGGGTCTCCATTTGACAATGTCTTAACTTGACATCTAAAGCCACATGCAGCCTGACCCAGGCCAGCCTTCACATCCTCTCTGTTATTGCTTTCCCCCCCCAGATACCATTTACACTGATCTGAATTGCATTCTGTCCCCTTCCTACCTCTAATTTCTGTTGTGCCATTTGCCATCGTCTTGGCCACCCTGCTCAGCTCTTCATCTCTGTCAAGATTCCCATATATCTTTTAAGCCCCTGTCCACCTGTTACCTCCTCCTTGAAATTGCTTCCACTCTTGGCAGTCAGAGGTGAGCTCATTTCTTCAGCTACTGTGTATTGCTTTCTTATAAATCTCCCCCATTGTAAAGAAATCAGTTAATGCTAAGTGACTTTGGATGGGTGAAGCAATGTCATTTAGGAGACTTCCTTTGCTAGCCCCCAGGAGACCAGCCATGAGAGACTGGCTCACACTAAAACACTCTTGAGCCAAAATGACAAAACATCCATCCTTTGAAGTCAGTCATCATTTGACTCAACAAAGTGGCCATTTCATATGGTTCCACATAATACTATGAGAATTCCAATGGTCCCATAGAGAAAAAGAAAAAGTACATTTATCTATTGAGTTCCCATTTATGATGCCTACTGTGTGATGGGCATTGTAGAATAGGTTTCCAACACAGTAGGGAGCATAACAAATATGGTTAGAGCATTCATGGGACTAGAGTCAAGCTAAATGGTGATTAGACAGATTGATCAATGAACTTTTATTAAGAAAGGTAGGTGTTAGAATAGCCACATGCTTGTTGGCTATTTACCTTGTGAATTCATCTCATCCTACACAAAAGCAACTGGCATGTAACTTGTTTCCCCATAGAGTGGCCTGCCCCAATTATGGTGCCCTAACAGTGCTCAGCTATTTGCAGTCTGTTTTGAACTTTGAGATTCTTTTGGTGTTCTGTGTTCCCATGGATAAACAGATCTCCTGCGGGGTAGATTTAAGCTTGAGCCTGTCCTGGAGCTTGAACTCAGGACCTATGCACTCTGTCTCAGCTTTTCTGCCCAAGGCTATAGTACTCTACCACTGGAGCCACAGCTCCACTTCCCGCTTTTTTGGTTGATTAACGAGGTAAGAATCTCAAAGACTTTCTTCAGACGGTAATCCTTTGATCTCAGCCTCCTGAATTGCTAGGATTGCAGGCATGAGCCACCAGTTCCCAGCTGGGTAGATATTTTTGACTGGGAGCCATCTGTTTTCTCTAGGTAGCATTGAATTTTCATGCTCTGAATCACTGACTGATTTTTACTTTCAGCACGGAGACGCTCCCAATTATCTTTTTTTCTAAAGTAGTGTTGAAAACAATAAGACTTCTCCCACATGTTTTATGAGATTATCTAGTATAAGATTCCCCAGATTCTTGAAACTCTGTCTCCATCCAAGCTCCTGGCAATCTGTTTAATCCTCACCTCACCTCTCTTCTGGCCAACAATTCCAGTGGGCTGTGTGGTGCCTGTTCTTTTTCCCTCAAACTCAATACCTTAGGATTGCACCATCTACTGAACTATTTGCCCTTTTATGTGGGTTTAGGCTCTGTATTGTAGGGCCAAGCCCTGGGCCCACTCTGAAGACTGGGTAAGATTATGTATTATAGCCATGTTGGTAAAGCAAGTTCATAAACAAAGGAAACAGGTCCCTTTAAATCCAGAAGTTGAGAACATAAGGAAGAAACAATGCTGTATCCTTCTCATCCTCCATCTTAAAATGTCTTAGCTAGACACCAGTGGCTCACACCTGTAGTCCTACCTAGCTACTCAGGAGGCTGATATCTGAGTATCTCAGTTCGAAGCCAGCCTAGCTACTCAGGAGGCTGAGATCTGAGTATCTCAGTTCGAAGCCAGCCCAGGAAGGTAAGTCTGTGAGACTCTTATCTCTATTAAACTCATCAGAAAAGGCTGGAAGTGGCATTGTGGCTCAAGTGGTAGAGCACTAGCCTTGAACAAAAGAAGGTCAGGGACAGCCCACAGTGCCCAAGGCCCAGCATTCAAGCCCCAAGACCGCCCTCCTCCCCCCCCAAAAAATTCATGTCTAGCCTTGAATTCAAAATTGATGTGTTGTGCTGCTTTGGCTGCAAAAATTCTATTTTGAATTTATAGACCTTGTCTTTGCAGTTTTCCCCTGTAGGCTGAACAAGGGAAAGGTCAGGGCGCTGCTAAGCTGCCAGCTAATGGTTTTTGCGTTGCTCAGTGGACATGTAAACACTAGCAGGAGAATTGCTGCAGGCTGAGATTTCCAAATGCTATGTGCATGGGTTTGCTGATCGCTTTCTAGTTTTGTTTTATTTTGAAAGTCTAAGCAAGATTTCAAAAAGAAGGAAAAGAAACCCTAGTTTCTTTTTCTGTCCTAGTTGACAGCCTGTGGGAGTCACCCCTACAGCCACTTTTGCTCTAGGTGAATCCCAGGAGATCTCAGATAGGTTAGCCTGGTATTTCCCATCTCCAGTGTCTGAAGATCTCTTGTAGCTTCAGACCTGTGGCCTGGATTAGAGAGGAAACCTGTTCATGAGCTGGCTCCTTGATGGATGCATCACTTGAGCTTCTTTGGGCTGCTCTGATTGGTGGAGTGTACCTCTGACAGCCAGTCAGGTGTCTTCTTTTCCCCATTCCCTTTGTCTCCAGTGTTGAGCTGCTTCATTCCTGGCTTTGTGCCTTCAAAGTCAGCGGCAAGTATGTCGTGGCTCTCAGGTGTGTAATTGTGAGTTCAGCTAGCTGTCATCACCACTGACACAACTCCCGGAGGAAACTGGTGAAAAGTGTGCTTGTCATATGTGTCCCTACATTCACTTTGAGGTTCTTCCCAAACCTGAGACAGGCAGGGCAGGTGGCCGAAGGCTCCTGTACAGTCAGGCCAGTGAGAAAAGACCATCTGACATCCATCGTGGGCAACATACTTAACCTTTCTGTATCCCAGAGTCCATGCTATTTATAAGAGACAAGTGTTACCAATATGAAATGAAATCATGTACAGAAAGGACATGGGACGTTTCTTGGCACATATATGTAGTGGGTTTTTTTTTTTTTTAATTAGTTACTGTATGGTACATTCAACACAAAAAAGCAACCTGTGATTATTATAAAGTGGCCTTTCTGGCCTCCATTTTTCCTATAGATCCCCTCCCTACAAATTTGGCTATACATGGATCTTGCCTCAAATTTACTCACACACTACCTTCACAACTTTCCTAAATCTGAGCTACAGGTGCTATTGTTTATTTAAAATTATCCTTCCAAGCAATATTATATTTTAATAAAATTATCTATAGATAACCAGATATATAGTGATAGATCATTTTTATATCTGCTATGGGTGTAGCTCCATACACATATATATGTGTGCTATCTATTCTATGCTAGAATAGATACATAGATATTTGCATGTTTCCTACGATGATCTGGCCTCACAGGGGTATGTCTCACACATGGAATCACTGTTCTCTGGTCACTGGTTGTCTCTTGTGTCACTTTGTCCTTGGTTCCCTGTCTGTAATGCCCAGTTTCTATCTGTGCCTACCAAGGTTCTGCAGAAGTGTAGTTTCTCCTTCTCTCCAGTGTCCTGGAATCTTTCATTTCCAGCTAAAACTAGTCATCTGGTTCTCGATGTCTTTAGATTTTCTCAAAGGCAAGATCTGCATCTTATTTATCTTTGTCCTCCCTTTGATCAACAAGGTCCTGATACCCTGTAGGTACCAATAAGGGTTGAACAAATGAGCCATCACTGATGAGAGATGGAAGTCTTTCAACATACAGGGATGACAATGGTAGTCAAGAATTCTTTATGCTGTTGAGGATAGGGAAATTTTTCTGAAGAAATCGAGACTCTAAAATTACCTCTCCTTTCATCCCCTCCTTCCTGCCTACTTCCTACCTTCTTCCCAGGTTATGAGCAGCCGGTTTCTACCCTATGACAACATCATCACAGATGCTGTGCTCAGCCTTGATGAAGACACTGTGCTTTCAACAACCGAGGTAAGAACCATGCCTGGAGGTAGAGGGGCGGGATGCTCTTCACTAAGGTCCTAGAAGTCCCCAGGTGGTAACTCTTCTTTGCCCTTGCCTTAGTGGAAATGGAAAACATTTTTCAAAGCTTCCTGCAGAATTGGTTTTAATTAGCCCAAATCCTGTTAGCACCTTGCCACCACCTAGCACTCTGATGAGGGCACTTTTCCTTTTGTTTTCTCTGCTAATTAGCTCCTCATTTGCATGACTGTTCCTCACCTCTCCCCTTCTGCCTTTCCTCCCTTTTCTGTTTTTAGCCAGCACAGCTGTGGGCAGGTGTGTGGAACCACAGTGGTTTTGGGGGGGTGGGGGGCTGTTTCGCTGATTGTTGTTCAATGCAAGCCATTGCATCCCTTCCCCAGTTATCCCTGCACCCTGTGTATTGTCTCTGGGGACATGATTCTGGGTTCCAAATGAAGTTGCTATTGTTTGTTGTTGTCTGTTGTCTTGGTCTGAATCATACCACACCCACACATGTTAAGAGCAGACCATTTCATTTTAAGACTAAGATGGAGACACATGGTGTTTTGTACATTCAGATATTTATGCCCAAAATAAGATTGCCCAAAGAGTACATATGAAGAAGAGAGAGCAGAAGGAAAATAGATATGATAGAAAACCAGTTTTTTACAATGCAAGGAAGTATTGATCGCTAAAACCTTACTTGAAGCCGTAGTTGATCTCAAAGATAGCTGTACAAGATTGTAGTGAATCAGAAAGCATAGAGGCTTAACTAAGTTTCCTTTCCTGTCCCTTTCTTCTCATTTTATCTTTAATGTTTTTCCATTCAGTGTAGACATTGGCTCATTTTATTTTTAATGTTTTTCCATTCAGTGTAGACATTGGCTCCAACCAGCATGAGTTCCATTCTGATTCTCGGGATAAAGGGTGGTGATGACCAAGTTCAAATTCCATGGCTGCTTCTGAACTCTCCTCAGATAGTCTTGAACAGACACTATGCACTAGAGCAACTTAAATAACCCCAGGACAAAATAGCCTGGGCTTCACCTTGTTCACATACTTTATACATAGCAAAAGCTCTATAAATACCTGTTGAATGGATGTTTTGGGGGATGTGTGATACGTGGATTAAAAGAGTGAACACACAGCCAATTTTGTCATGTGCATCAGCAGGGAAGGTGCTGTTGTGATGAAGATATGCTTAACATCCAAAGGGAGGGATGGCTATGAAATACAAGCCGTGGGAGCCTACTTAAGTTATACTATCCCTGCTTGTATCTGTCAAAGTCCTGGCAACAAACAGAATTCAAAGCAAATGATTCAAATGAAAAGATTTTTAGATTACTTGAGGAGAGTGGGTGGGGTTGACAGAGCCCATAAGAAGTGCTGAGGAGGCTGATGATGAGTAGCAAGCACAGAAAGCTGTTTCTATCCCCAAGGCTTAAAGGGACAAGAGAAAGAAAGAAAGATGGAGATTTCCAAAGTTCCTGAAAGATGGAGCTAGCAGGGAGGCCTCCATACAGGCCACGCTCACATAAAAGTGCTGCTGCTGTCAGAGCTCTAGGGACATGGGAGGAAAGGAACAGGGAAGATTCCTGACTTCCCTTCCATCTCATCTCTAGCTGAGGACTCCCATTGACTTGACCTAACCAGATATTGTCTCGTAAGAAAGACCAGGCAGTGCCGTCTAGATGTATCAGACAACGTCTCATTGCTGTTACATAATCTAAAGGAGGAGAGATTTTTGTTTTTATGACTCTGGGTTTCAGAAGTTTCAGTCCATCATGGAACAGAAGGCATGGTAGAACACAGAAGCTCACACCACGGTCAGGGAAAAGAGAGAGGGAGGTGATAATGCATGGCTTTCCCCTTCCCCTATTTATTCCATCCAGACTCTCAGCACTATGATGGTGTGGCCTATCATTAGGGTGAGTCTTCTTTTCATAGTCAGTTATCTCTGGAATTACCTTATAGAAACACCCGGAGTTGTTGCTTTACAAATCTCCTAGGCATCTCTCAATCTAGCAAGTTGACAGTCAAGAGTAACCTTCATGCTAGGGTTCCATCAATCCAGGGCACAGAGCAGGGCATCTCAGCGGGCAAACGGCAAAAAGCAGCACATTCTCATGGTGAATGAATGGTCATGATTCATCTTAAGGTATTATCCTATGACCTGGATTATGATGTGTCATGTATCTTCCCTTGGGCAATATAGCATCACTCTAAGCTTTACTATTTCCTGTGCCATGCAGAAGTAACTCTGGGGTACTGCAATGCATTTTTGTGCTGGTGAATTTCCTTTTAAAGATTAGCAATTGCAGCCACTCAATGCATGCTGGGAGGACCATGTGTTATATGTAAAGTAATTAGAAGTCAACGTGGGTTGAAAATAATATGTAAATTTAAGAGGCTGGCATTCTGGTTTGCTTTTGCCTGCTGCTCAGTGGCGTAGTGTGTTGTCTAAAATGTGCGTGGGCAGGGATTTCTCTATTCCCTCTTTTTAGGTGAATAAATGTTGGTTCAACTTTCCTCCTTTTGAAGGGTTCTTACCTTATATAAATGTGTCTCTACAGTATTAAAGATAGATTAAAAAAAAAAAGAACATCTCATAAAGGGTAGTAGATATACTTGGTTATTTACATTTATGAGTTGCTACAAACCCTCAAAAGAAAACAGATGTTGATTTTTTAAGAAAAGAGGCCTTAAGCTGACCTTTGCCTTCTTTGATGTGTTAATGATCTGCATGAAAGCAATGCTATCAGAAGAATCATAGTTTTATCTGAATTTACTTGTGAGCTCCTTTGAAATGACTTGAAACAGCTTTGAGATAGTAAGAAATTCATGTGATGAAAACACCCCCATTGGGTTCAGTAGTAGTTTCCAGGCCATGTGTTTTCTTTTCAAAGAATAATGGAAAACCCCAAAGAGTGCTAACAGCCTGGTGGCTTCTTTGATGCCCTATGCCATTGGTTGGGCCTATCAGTAGCCAACTCCAATGAGGAGGAGGGGCTTATCACAGACATTTCAGTTTTCTAGCAAATGCTGCCCACCCACCCCCTGCTGTCTTCTCAATTTTGAGATATTTTCTTCCTACCATGTTTTCTTAACATACACGACACCTTCGCTTTTCCTTTTATGCTCCCAGAAGGATGCTTTTATGAACAAGTCCTAATAAGTCTTTTCTTATCTCGAGATAATTTTTTAAGTCAGGATTTTGTAAAGGAACAGAGCCAGTAGAGATTTTTTTTTTTTTTAATGAGGAGTTGCTTCCCAGAATGAAGAGGCTGTGAAGTTTGTCATCTGCTATCCCTAAGCTGAAGAAGTAGCGGGAAGGCTGGTGGTATAATCCCAGTCAGTCAGAAGCCCTGAGAACCAGGAAGGCCAATAGTTCGGTTCTAGTCTAATGGCAGGAGGCAGGAGAAGATGTCCCAGTGGGAACAGATGTTTGTTACTGGAAGGTCAGCATAGCTAATCAGCCTCCATCTCTGTGAGCAGCCTGAGTAGCCGAACAAAAGGAATTCAGGCAAGATACTCATGTAGTGAGAGTCACAGACGCATATATTTTAAAAAGAATATGCTTGTTTTTCTTTCGCACCTGTATTGGGGCTTGAAATCAGAGCCTGGGAACTGTCCCTTCACTTTTGCTCTCAAGGCTGACACTCTGCCATATGAATGACAGCTCTACTTCTGGGTTGTATTTTTTCTGGTTACTCAGAGTATCATGGACTTTGCCATGGCTAGCTTCTAAACCAAGATTCTCAGATCTCAGCCTCCCGAGTAGTGAGGCTTACAGGTGTGAGTCTCCACCAGCACTTGGAGGAATAGTCTTTCAACAGACTCAAAGTGAATTGTCTCTAGTGTGAAAATGATTTTTGCGGTGGCACCAGTGTTACTGAAGTAAAAGGGGCTTGAATAAGAAGCTGCTCTCTGAAAGCAGCCTATGGGACAGAATCACATGCTAAGACTGAGGGAGGGTTATTGAATTCATTTGGTCTTCAGGACATGGTTTACGGACCTGGGTAGGTAAGTTATGGATCTCCTGTTTTAGAACTATTTGTTGATCTTTCTTAGGCTAGAATGAAACCTATCATCAGTCCTTAGTTGGGTTGAATACTGACAAAAGCTCATCTTGCAACATTCTATGACTAGTAAACCACAGATAGTTGAAAGATAAATTATAGTGTTTTCCCTCAGAGACCTTGTCATCTCTCTCATCCTGTTTAGGTGTTTTGCCTTGTCCCATCCTTCATGGCTAGATGGTGCCTGTCAAGTTCTCTCCCGCCTTTCCAGTCAGGACTCAATGTGTTGCGTGGTATCCACTCACTTTGGGGTTGGCCACTGTTCCCATCGAGAAATATTCTCACAAACCCACTCAGAAATCATCTTTAATCTAAGTACTTGGTGCAGTCAAGTTGGCACGCAAAATCAGCCATCACAGAGACTGAATTAGAATTTCATATAAATTTGAATACAAAGCTGTATATGAAAACGGTGACTGTTGTAATGTTCATTCAGTTTGCATTGTTGTAAAGAATTTCAGACACTTAGTGCATACTTCTTACATTCTCTTTTAACTTACTTAATATATGTAGAATTGCTGTATTCTGCATGTATATTTTATTACATAAGCTGAAATAAATTAATTACACACATATACACACTGAGCAACATAATCTGAGGCAGTGGTTTCAAAATGATGGCTTGTGTGCATACAGAAAATAGTTTTATATGGTTTATTACAGACATATTGCATTTTTTATTCTTCTTAAAAAGTAATAATCCAGTAATCACTGGATTATCCAGTAATCACTGACATTTTTTTCCTGAGAGAGAGGCGGGGGAAGGGAGGGAGGATAATATTTCCTAAATAATCATGCATGTGTTATGGGAAATACAGCAAAAAGCTTGGGAAATAATTGAACTTATTTGCTCTGTATTTTTATTTTATTGAGATAATATTCACGTAACATATATTCATATTACATAAAATTACCATGTCACAGTATGAAACTCATGGTGTTTGTTCACAATGTGTTCAATCACCATCACCTGTCTTCTTCCAAAACAGTGTGTGTTTGTGTGTATATGTGTATACATACCACTACTAGGGCTTGAACTCAGGGCCTTTCACTCTTATTTGGTTTTCACATTCACAACTGGAATTCTACCACTTGAGCCACGCTCTACTTTCAGATTTATTTCTGGTTAATATGCAGATAAGAGTCTCACAAATTTGTCTGCCTGGGCTGACTTCAAAGTGTGAGTCTCAGATCTTAGCCTCCTGAATAGCTAGAATAATTGGTAGGAGCCATAGTATTCTGTCTTCCAAAACATTTTTATCACACACAAAGGAAATCCTGAACCCAATAAGCCATCTCTTCCTACTTTGGCAACCACCACTCTGTTTCCTGGTCTGTGGATTTTCCTATTGTGGGCATTTCATATACATGGATCCCTGTGATATGGACCCTTTAAAACCTGATTTCTTTCACTGAATGTAATGCTTTTGAAGTCCATCCAGGTTTTAGTAATTATCGATATTTCAGTGCTTATAAGAACAGAAGGCAGGTACTTCTGAACTTTTTTATTGCTGCATAGTATTCCTTTTGGCTACATGGTACTTCATTGTGTAGTTCTATAGTATAGTTTCCACTCATCAGTTGATGTAATGTGGATTGTTTTTACCTTTTGGCTGTTGTGAATGCTTACTTCCTTCTTGAAGCTCTTTGGCAGGTTCTGAACGTGGCACTTAGTCCTCCAAGTCACTGTCACAGTTCTAGGACTTGAAATATTTGCCAAATCATGAGATTTCCATTTAAAATGCTTACCAAGAAAAAAATAGAGTGGAGGCTGCAGGATTCATTGTTATCTGTGTGTAAGATATCTTGCTTTCAGGCTGGGGTGTGACTTAAGTGGTAGAGCACCAGCCAAGCAAGCAAACCAAGCAAGCTAAGCAAGCTCGGCAAGCTGAGTTCAAACCCCAGTTACTGGCACCTCTGCGTAAGAGAGATCAGAAAACAAGATGCATAGATGGAACCAGATTTTTTTTTTAATTTAAATCTTGATCCTGCCATTTCCTATATAAACAAATGACTTATCCTTTATATGTTTTTTCCTCTCTGTCAATTGAGTATATAAAAGTATCTACCACAGGAATAATTGTGAGAATAAAATGACTTAAACTATGTCAGTACCTATTCCATGGGCCCTGTCCAATTGTAAGCATTCTTTGACTATGAACATCTAATCACTTGATGTTATTTATTTTATCTTGTTATTTAATTTATCTTGTTATTTATTTTCTACTTAGTGTTTTTATTGATGACTCTTCAAATGATGATAGTCAGGAGTGAGCTCGTACCTTGAGAGATTACAGGAAGTTCAGGAATAGCTGAACTTGGGTTCTTTCAAGCACTGGACAGTCACTTAGCTGCCTTTCCTGAGAATCATCCTGTGGCTTCACCCAGCCTTGTCCCAACTTAGCGATTTCACTGTGGATGCTTTTTCTAGCATTTGATCCATCTTCATATCTGAGATGCCTGAAATTGGTTTTTGTTTGGGAACTCTTCTCTGTCTTTATGTTAAAACTGTGCTCTTTAAAAAAGAAAAAAAAAGAAAAACACTTGTCTCTTGCCCTTAAGAGGATGCTTTAATTGTAGTCTCTTGGGCTTTGTTCTATGCTGGTTAGGATGTGCGTTGTATATTCATTCGCTGGATGTACGCAGGAAATCTGTTCTCCTTTATAAAACAGATGCTGCTTTGGTGCCTCCTGGGTATTAAGAGTGGCGTACACCTTTAGAGGGTGTAGGAGGGGAAGCAACTGGGTTTCTTGGCTTGTATTTTAGCTTGAACAGACTGGATTTCTAAAGGACATAGTAGCAAACTTTTATTTCCACACTAACCTGGTTTTCTTTAACAGAAATCATTTAAATGTGCATAATTACAGGGCAAAATGTCAAGCAGTCAGTTTAATTTGCTGATAAATACGTGGAGTTAATGTTTCGAAACAGTCCTGGGATTCTACATGATGAATTAGCAGGGTAAGGTAATGTTTTGTTGACGTTTGTTAACACTGTTGATTGCTTGTTTGGCTTGTGTTCTATGTTGCAGGTGGATTTTGCCTTCACAGTGTGGCAGAGCTTCCCAGAGAGGATTGTGGGGTACCCAGCACGCAGCCATTTCTGGGATAACTCGAAGGAGCGGTGGGGGTACACATCCAAGTGGACGAATGACTATTCCATGGTGTTAACAGGAGCTGCTATTTACCACAAGTGAGCAGTGTTCCCATGTCTCTTAGAGATTTGCTAGAGTTCTTTCTCCTACTCTGTGGTAATGCCTAAGTAGGAACCTAGGCCAACTCTTGTTGACAACTGTAACAAAATTAATCTGTATACTTGCTTAAGTTTTGTTGATGTGGCCAAAGTTGTGTGTGTGTGTGTGTGTGTGTGTGTGTGTGTGTGTGTGTGTGTGCGTGCGCAGTAGATCTGGATCTTGAACTCTAGGCCTGGGTACTGTCCCTGAGCTTTTTTTCATTTTTTTATTTTTTATTTCTCACTTGAGCTAGAGTACCGCTTCTGTGGTTTTCTTGTTTTTGTTTTTGTTTTGTGATTAATTGGAGATAAGAGTCTCACAGACTTTCCTGCTGAAGCTAGTTTCGAACTATGATCCTCAGATCTTAGCCTCCTGCATAGTTAGGATTACAGACATGACTACTGGCGCCCAGCTCAAGGTATTTTTTTTTTAAAATAAAACCAATGAAATTTGTTGGCTTATTGCGTTTCCAGGAATTTAGGGAGAGTAGCATTTTCAGTTAAGCAGACATGAGAATAATAGAGACAAAAGTCGTGGCATTTAACTGAAATAGAATTAGTTTAATTTTTATCGTTATTATAAAGGTGATGGTCAGAGGTGTCATAGTTACATAAGTTAGGGAAAGTGTTCCAAAAGTAAATTCTTATTTGAGCAGCTCCAGTCACTGTTGTAGATGCTGAAGTTCATCATTGAGTGAAGCAGAAAAAACTTCCCTTCCAGGTCAGCGCACATAGCTAACAAGGGGGGAGATACAGTAGGAAGTTCAAGAGATGTGGGAGACAGCAGAACACACAGTGGAATAAAGTAAGGACAGGAGTGGCAGAGATGGGGGAGGTTGGAATGTGACCTGGAGGCTCTTCACTGAGCCAAAGTCCTGGGAACAGTGACTGAAGACCAGAGGAAGTTAGCCAAGAGTGTTCTGTCATGAGGACTAGCTAGGATGCCCAGAGGCAAAATGTTGGGAGAACCATCAAGAAGGACTATGTGACTATTGACCAGAATAGAATGGGGAAGAGAAGGACCAAGAAAAGTCTAGACATACAGGTTCTAGAAGACTTGACCATTTCCCCTAAGAGACCTGGGAACCAGTGCAGGGATTTGAACAGAATTTGTCAAGGCTGTTATTGAAACATCTGCTCAGCATGCCATGTGGAGAACACTGTATAAGGGGGGAGCAGAAAAAAAGCAAAGAAATCTAATAGGAGCTGATTGAGGCAAAAGATGATAGAGCCTGGGACCAAGAAGTTGACAATGGTGATGAAAAGTGGTGACCACATGGTGAGCCTATTTTGAAGAAGCTTCAACACAATGTCCTAACTGATTGGGTGTAGGGTTTGATAACTCCCAAGCTTATTGATGAGGGTAGTAGAAAGATGGAAGCCATTAGTGGAAATGGGAAGTGCTACAGATGTCTTGAGTATTACAGAAAATGTAGGAGTTCAGTCTTGAGCATGTAAAGACATCTAAAAGGATATGTCACAAAATTTCATGGATGGAGATATATGTTGAGCACTTGCAAATATCTGAGCTTTAAAGCCAGTTGACTGGACCAGGGTAGTGAAAGTACTGACCATTAATATTTCTCCCAGCCTTTTGTCTTAATGAGACAAGAACACTGATCTTACCATAGCCTTAGAATTTTGCCTTCTTCTCAAGGATGGGGTTTAAAATGCCCAAGTATAAACTGGCCATTTGGGCTGATTAAACACTGATTTCAAGATTTCACCTTTTGAAAGTTCTTTATTCCCCATCCTTCTGCCACACCACACAGATGCATCTGATTCGTTCAAATGATTGTCTTATTTGTAAGTAACTTCTCTTGCTATCTATGTATTCAGTTTCTCTTTCTATTATTAATGCTATCGATTAAAGAAGGGTTGTGTGTTTAAAGTCTACTTGCCATTATGTAATGGTGGCCTCCTGTGAAACTCTCTTGGTTTTTATAGATATTATCACTACCTGTACTCCCATTACCTGCCAGCCAGCCTAAAAAACATGGTGGACCAACTGGCCAATTGTGAGGACATTCTCATGAATTTCCTGGTGTCTGCTGTGACAAAATTGCCTCCAATCAAAGTAACCCAGAAGAAGCAGTATAAGGAGACAATGATGGGACAGGTAAGAGTAAGAGATTGTTCTTCCCTTCCTTTGCTCACTTAACTGGTGGTCAGCTCAAGATGATAAGGACACATGTTCCTCCAGATACTTTATCTAGAAATACGATGAGAAGATACAGACATACAATACATACAGAAGATCTGTATGTGATTGACACTTGGAAAGACACAAGTCAAGAGTATCTTTATGTCAAGAGTAGAAAGCTCTGTGTGTGTGTGTGTGTGTGTGTGTGTGTGTGTGTGTGTGTGTTATGTTTTTTTCTTTTAATTTAAACTTTATTATAAAGATGAGTACAGAGGGGTTACAGTTACATAGGTCAGGTAATGAGTACATTTCTTTTTGAACAATGTCACCCCCTCTCTGATTTTCTCCCAGTGTTTTCCCTCTTGAACTCCCTACCCCCCCCCAAGTTGTATAATTCATTTCCAACATAGTGTCTTGTGTGTATCATTGCTTAATTAATTTACTCTTTGTCTCACATTTTCTGTGCTTCTCCCTCTCCTCCCCAAATCAGATAAACCTTTGTCTTGTATTTAAGACAAAGGTTACAGAAATCAAAAGCAGTGACAAAGGGAGTAAACCAAGGAGGAAGGGAGAGTTAACTACGAACAATACAATGAAAAAAAAAAACCTCTTGTTTTCAGTTCTTGGAGTTCATTTTGATAAGCCCTTGTGATCCTCTCCTAAGACTATCCTCCTTTGTTCCCACCATGTGAATCTTTAGTGTGCTGTTTAATTAATCATGTCCAAGTATAATTATTTGTCTTTTACTATCCATTGGATTTACATGTAGATTTATGGACACATTATAGTTATTACAAATGAGGGAAACCATGCAGCCTATGTTTCCTTGGGTCTGGCTTACTTTGCTTAAGAATGGAAAGCTTTTCTGAAACCTATCAAATGATATGAGAAAGACAGGCTTACCATCGACTAGACGGCATAAATAACAAATATTCATTCCTCAAAGTTCTGTAGGTTGGGGATTCTAAAATCAAGGCACCAGCAGATTTAGTATCCAGCAAGCTTCCCAATGCATAATTGTTTCTTCTGGCATCCATGTTAGATGGATGCTAATCCTATTCTTGAGTACTTCACCTTCTTGAGCTATTCATCTCCCAACTGCCTACCTGTAATATTATTATTTCAGAGATTAAGCTTAGAAGTATAAATTTAGAAGTACCTAAACATATGTAGTCCATATTGAATGTAAAGAAATTATGTCATTGTATTGTCATCACTATAGTGAGATGAGTATCCTTCATAGTCAAATACCAGGTATCACAGTACTGATTGTTCTGGAACCAGCATTTATAAGCTGTGGGAATATCAGTTACTTTCTGAAATTTGGTTTTGTGGCATTTTGCATAGATTTGCCTAATTCCTGGCCATTAGTTTAGTAAACATTAGTGTGACTAGTGAAATAAATGAATAACATGCGCTAAGCTTATACTTTGATCACTTCTTTCCCGGTGTTTGATGGTTGACTCAGAATAATGTTAAAATCCAGAGTCAATGATACTTGAGTGATTGAACTGGATATGTGTGTGTATGCGTATATGTATGTGCTTGAGTGCACAAACCCATATGGGTGCATATGCTCACACAGAATAAGAATGAACTGGAGCTCTTGGCAGAATTCTATTTACATACATATGTAAATAGAATATATATATATATAAATATATATATATATATATATATATATGTAAGCACTTTTGTCTGGATGTGGGGTCTGTACCTTTGGATGCAGAAATGACTCACCCACATCAATTTAGGAACAAAACAAGCAGCCTGTTGGGCCATTTCTTCCATCAGGAGCTCCACCAGACAGCTTAATCTGTTACCTTTCTTTGTTTTTTGTTTTTTTTTTCCTAAGAACATGTCTCCTAGTACAAATGCTAAAGAGTGGGTCCCGCATTCTTTCCCTTTCTAGCTTTCAGCAAATAACTAACTTCCTTAAAGTCTGTGAAGTGGGAGTACTGTGACTCAGGAGATACTTCACCTGGTTGTTGTGAAGCCCAGATGAGCTTCATAAAAACACTTTGCAAATAGTGTCAGGCTATTCTGCTTCTCAGAGGTAAAAACATTTGTATTTATCTTCGATGTTATGTTCAAGTATGTTGACACTCATAGTTTTGAAGACACTGAGTAATTCTCACACTAAAGTGTACCTTTCCATGAAAGTATGCTTCTAACAATGTGTCAAGGGGTAAATGAGTCACACACACACACACACACACACACACACACACACACACACACACACACACACACACACACACACATTTTTTGTAAACTGGTAAGTTGGGTATTTATTGAGTATCTAAAGCAACAAACTGACACAGGTGTCATTTCTGCCATGGTACAGTCTTACATGTACATTCTTCTATTTCTTTTTTCTTTTACTGTAAAGGTGATTTACAGAGGGGTTACAGTTACATTAGTAAGGAAATGAGTACAATTCTTGTCCAACATTGTTACCCACTCTCTTGTTTTATTCCTCTATCTCCTCCCCTCTCCTCCCTGGCCTCACACACAGACTTTAAAAGTCTGTGTTTTAAACATTCACAGATTTTTTTTCTCTGTAGTTGGGCACCCCATTTTCCCTTGTGTCATAAAAAAATCGTTGTTTGTAAAGTTTTTTTTTAAAGAAAGTGTGTTGTTCTCCTTCGATTTCAGCACTTACGCCATTGAAGGCTTTGTTTTTGTCAGTTCAATGTCAATCATCTACATGGCTTATAAATATTTCACCAGCCTTTAGGACAACTTACAGAGGTAAAAAGGCGGTCGCTATCTTTTTATACTTACCTAGAATAATCAGAAGTTCAATCATCATTTCAAACATAATCTTTTGGCATTGGAAGAGAAGGAAAGGCAACGATTCTTGGGTTAAGTGAGGAGCAGAGTTCTGAATTTTAGTGTCTAACAGATATACCTTCTAGATCACTAAATCTGGACTCATCGCCAGAAAACAGATTTTTAGATGCTATATGCTACTAGTATGAGTGAAGTAAGCATTTTATTTTGTTCTTTAACTACACATGTGACTCTTTAACAAAGGAGTCAGTGGGATCTTTATGAAGTCAGTGAAATGGGAGAAAGGAGAAAGGAACAAATAGATACTACATGGATAGTCATAATATTCGGTCCCAAGTACAAAAGCAAGCATTCTATTTAGTGACTAGAATAGTTGAGGTTCACTTAATATTAAGTTCATCACTCGCTGGCCACAGCATTGGTCTATGCAGAGAACCAGGTGTGTATTTAATAACAGGAATGAACTTCTCATGTCTTGGAAATCCCTCTTGGCAAACATCACTGAGCCTTGCGTGTCACCACCTGCATTGGTGGTGCAGCTTGGTGGCTACCCGCCAAGTTCTGCTGCTGTTAGCCTGGCTTGGTTTGCTGCAGCATTTCCCTTTCATTATACCCTCCTCTCATTCTCTTCCTTTCTCTCCTTTTCCCTAGACTTCTCGAGCTTCCCGTTGGGCTGACCCTGACCACTTTGCCCAGCGACAGAGCTGCATGAATACATTTGCCAGCTGGTTTGGCTACATGCCGCTGATCCACTCTCAGATGAGGCTGGACCCCGTCCTCTTTAAAGACCAGGTCTCTATTCTGAGGAAGAAATACCGAGACATTGAACGACTTTGAGAAATCCGACTGAGTGAGGGAGGGGAAGTGAGACGGGACCGGTGTCCAACCTCTCTCTCTTCCCAGTGCAGATCCGCCCCATCAGCGGAGCCAGATTGTGCCAAGCATCCAAATAAACTCTGATGAACAGAATAACAAAACAAAAAATGAAACACAAAAGGCCAATGAGAACTCAACTCCTGGCTCCTGGGACTGCACGGGACTGCTCACTCACCTCATCCGGCGTCTGTGTCCCAAGACTAGGTTGTGTACAGTTTAATTATGGAACATTAAATAATTATTTTTGAAATGATTGCTATGCAGGTTTAAACTTTTTTAATGATCAAAACTATTAAAAACCAGAGTTCTTTCTTTAATCAAAATTGTGTTGGTTGTGACTGTTTCAAAGCTGCTACTCCTCTTTTCCCAGACATTGCTGCCCTTGGTCACGCAGGGTTTCCTGCAGTTACAAAAGCTCCGACTTCATGGGAAACACAATGAGTCAGTCAACCCAGGGTCAAGAAACAACTGAGCATATGTTAAGAGAAGCTCACTATTCAACCTTGCCAGTGCAAATTGTTTGCCAATTTGAATTTTCAAATCCACTCGAACTTTTATATCTAAAATGTCGATGCATGACTTCCAGGTAGGCAGTTCTAACAGAACACGTTACGTTTGAGTTGTAGAAGTATGATACCTTTTTTTTCCCCAGTGGGAGGGTGGGAGGGAATTAGTACCAAGAAGACATTAGTGGAATTAAGAATTGTTCGGTTTGAACAAGGAACCCTTCAGACGACCCACCAGTATGTTAACTAGATGGAAATGGTTGCCCACAACAGAAACCCAATGCTTTCCAGGGGTATGGGCTACATTATAGATTCAACCACTGACATATGTTTGATGAGAGTTAGAGACAGGCTTTGGTTTAGAGGCCAAAGAAACCAGGATGGACTGGTGGGGCGGGGGAGGGGGTTGAGACAGATTATTTCTAAAACAAGCTCTTTGTTGGTGTAAAACTCAAGCTTCAGAGGCTTCTCTGTTGAGAAAGAGGTAATTATGTGTAAGCACACACCATTGAACAGAGGATTGCTGTGAAATGTGAAATAACTTAACCGAGGGGATGCCTAGCCATGGGAACCTGAATACCATTTTTGGCGAAACATGGTTTTAAGCAAGGATCTGGCAAACAAAATAATCAGAAACAAATGTGCATACTGTTTTGTTTTCATTTTTAGATGGGTAATTTAGTTGTGCTCCTTGTAAAAAAAAAAATTCTATCCCTGAACTAATGATGATTGTGAAACTTCAGTAATAAGCAAAGACAAACAAAACCCATAAACCATATTCCTAAGTTCCACTATAAACATGGAGACTTCTAACTTCTGATATTTAAATATTTGCTTCTACCTGAAAGAGGCAGAAGAAAACAGGGGCTAGAAAGATGATTAGGTCCTCATACCTATGATGTAAAATAAAAACAGCACTTTAGTTTTCTTTCCCCTCTTTAAATTCTCATACATTTCAAACATTTAATGTTCAGTTTTGTTTTAGAAGGAAACTATCAGCACAGACTTACATTTCAATAACGGCCAGCAGCTGGCTGAGGCCTAGGAAAAACCATACATCCACTGAATTCACAACTCATACTTTCTTTGTAGGTATCTAGAAGCAAGTGGGGAATTTCCTTGATATCCTGGAGTAGGTGTAATAAAGAGAAGTAAAAGTAGATGCTTGTTGACATCCAGAGAGATTACTTCATTGGCTCGCTAAGAACAGAACAAGGACTGGAAGTCACTATCCATATTCTGTTATGTGAGTGGTGCATAGACAATGAGTTTTGCTTACAGGGGGCTTTCCTCTACAGCCTTGTGACTCACAACCACTCCCTAAGCATTCTTCTCATCCAGTTCATCCCATCCTTGGCCCATTCTTAAACATCTCTTCAGCAGATGCAATATCTCTTAAACATTTTCTCAAAAGTACCTCATGAGTCCATAGTTCTGACACATGTATCTTTCAATAAAGTGCCCAAATAGATTTTCTAACGTTTAAGCCCCATTTCTCACCATGTTAAAGGATTAGCAAGCAATCTCTATTCATCTGGCCTGTACAAATTGTATCTAAATTATTTCCAGAGTGAGTATTATTCTTACATCTTTCTCCTTTGCAAAAAAAAAAAAAAAATGCAATACTTTGTTCGACACCCCAGGCCAACTTAAAACTTACCTTGTCATTACAGCTCACAAAGCAGTGTCCCTAATTGTGTCAGTCAGTGGATTCAACCACTTGCCTTGCCAGATTTACCTGTCATAAAATCATAAGGCACGTAGTCTCCTCCAACAACATGTGTTATCTGAGGGGGTGGGGTGGTAATTATAAATGAGAATGGATCTGACACTGCCTCTACTTGAAATCTCCAAGGCTTCATTTTATGTCGTTCTTTGAACAAATCTCTTTGGGATGCTAGCTACTGTCTTCTTTTCTCATTGGGAATATACAGCTGGGAATTGAACAATGCTAAGCAAATCAGTGAGGCCCAAAAGTGAAATGTAATTTTAATTCTCTTAGGAAAGAGTTGTGTGTTGAATTGCAGCAATTTGACAAATCGTAGCCATTGCTGCCGGATGTCAGGAGTTATCTCTTAGCCAATTTTAATGATAACCACGGGTCTCTAAGTGGACTAACGTGCTGAGTTGGTAAGATGCCAAGGGCAAAGAGTAGTGCAAACTACAAAATGAATTACATGCAGAAACTCCATAGCAAACTCAGCCACTTGTAATCTTCACACATTTTTTCCCTAGCGCCTGTTAGTACCTATGCTCTTAAAAATAATTTTTAAAAGCTATCTATGTATTTATTTCTATGAAAAGATTTGTAAATATCAGTGCTTATGTGCGTTATAAAGTAAACCTATCATCTTTATTCACAATAATAGAATGACTCTAAGTTGAGACTGTAGAGAAAAATCCATGCAATAATTCTAGTCACATCACACACACACACATACACACACACACACACACACACACACACACACAGAGCAAGGCTAGGTGGCTATACCTGGGCATACCATGCACTTTCCAGATAGGATGCTTCTAAAGAAAGGGAAATCTCATGCCTGGAATTGTATGGTTATTACAATTTCATTTCTTCTTGTTACAAATGGTGCTCAAAGGAGGATCAATCCTGGTTGCTTCCTTCAATTTCCCTTTAAGAATGATTTTTTGGTTTTCATTGCAGTAGGCTATGTTAGCCTTTATTTCAGTGGTTCTTAAATTCCTAGTGACTTGAAAGAACATTATGCTGGTGGCCTTTCATAAAGGTTGCTGAACTTTAATCAGGGGTGAGAAGATGACATTAACAAATCTATATTGTTATTTTCTTTAAAAAAAAAAAAAGATGATTGATTTAATCCAACCTGTGTAAAACTATAACAACAAGGTAGAAATCTTTATCAAGTTGTAATCTGAATAAGGTTTGCAAAGGCTCAAACAGACTTGCTATACCTGTATCATCTGTTCCTTGGAATCTTGAAACCCTCCAGAATTATAGGTACCAGTTATGAACATGAACTCTCAAGTCCAAATGACCCTGCCTTCTGAGAGTTATAGAATCAATGGGCAGCCTGCTTGTCAGGACTGTAGTTGCAAACTTCATTTACCTTAGTTCTGTTTCCGCAACTACAGACAAGCACTCCTTAGATGCTTTTGTCCTGCGTGGCCAGATGTAACCAAGAAAGCCCTTTCACTGATGGCCCTATTTTCTCAGGCTTGAGAAAAAGTTGGTTTGAGTTGAATTCTCAGTGAATAAACATCTCAAACTGTGCTAAACTTGTCTCATTTAGGATTCAAATTTCAGTATGGGGTGATTAAATTATTCCTTAGCTCCACGTCTATTTTTAAAGGGGGAAAAGAACATGACAAGAAAATGCTCTCCTGTATATTCATGAATGCTGTCCAGGAGCTCTTGATAGAAGCCTAATATTTACAGAATAATCTCAATAATGAAGGGAACTCCTGGTTGGAAATCATCTGTCTTTGCTCTTTCCAAGACTCAAAGGATTTTCTTTACATGATTTTCATTTAGCTGAGATTCCAGCCTTGTCACTGACCTACAAGTCCAATATATTGCCTATCTGGAGCCTAAATGAGCCTTCTGTGGCAACCATTGGGGAAAGCAACCATTGAGCAAGATGAGCTCTCAGGATGACATGATCTCACCCTTGTTTAAAATCAAGTCGAGGTAGCCTTTCAGTCACTCTATTTTTGTAATGATTTGCCTTTAAGGCCTCAAAGGTCACTTGATTTCTGCAATAGTTTTCTGTTCTTCTACAGGAACACATTCCTCTCCTTTTGGTTCTAATTCTTATAAAATTTAAGGCCATGCAAATGACCTGTTACCATGTAATGAACCTTGTATATTTATTCTGAGAGAAAAATATGTATAGGCTATGTTGAGGGACAGAAAGAAAGACATGGAAAACTGGAACTATTTTAGGTGGTAAATTGTAAAGCAAAAAAAAAAAAAAAAAAGTATACCTTATTTTGTATACAATGTACATTTGGGACAGAGTTTTCTAATCTGTTATCAATGTTTTTGTAGTGTCACCACCAGATCTTTTCTGAAGATGTTTTCCTCATTTGTTATAGATGATTAATGATTTAGTACAAATAAGCCCTAATGTATGTATGTGTGAACGAGAGCGAGCGAGCGTGTGCAAGAAATTTCAAAGCCATAGATGTTGCTTTACTTCACTGATCTGTGTAACTTTATGTCTGGGTTTTGCCATCCAAGATAGATTGTTTTATAGAGTGTCACCAAAGACTTTTTCCTTCCAATTTATAGACAAAAAAAGAAATTATTAATAAATGACATGACTTTTCATCTGTGTGGTTTTCATTCCATCTTTTCTGTTGAATACAGAAAGATGCCAGTTCCCAGGAGGATAAAATGTGTTGGGAGAGCTTTGATGGGTTCTACCGGAGACAAATAGATGAGGCTGAACCGAATGTGCTAGGTGGAGGTCCAACTCTCCCAGCCTGGCTTCACCCCAGCACCCAGACTCATGGGAAGCACAGAGCTGCCAGCAACAGCCATGTTCCAGGCCAGATGCAGCTGGTGCTGTTGGATGGCAGCCAGGGTGAATGGTGATGATGTGCCCAGTTCACAGCGTTCCTCCACACAGATCCTGAGACCAAGTGGCAGGGCTGGGCCCCAGAGCATCTGGAGGCTGACAGCTGTGGCCATTACCCCCCTTGGTTTCAACTACTGCCTGGAGCTCATGAATTACTGGCTGACGAAGCATTTATTAGATTGGTCTTTTTCAAAAGAATGTATAAATGGCTCCAGGTGTGTTGCAGCTCCATGATTTAGGACC